TTACACCCCCTCCTGCCCAGGGCAGTGATCGCCCTCCAGCGAAACGGGGCTGCGGGGCAGGACTGAAGGGGACACCCTGTGTGGGTCCCCAGCCCTGCCGTGACAGGGCCACCTCCTGGAGAAAGGAGAGGGTGGCTTGGAGAAGGGCTACCTGTCCACAGAGAGGTGCTCGTGTCCCATCATGAACTGGAGATTGTCGACGACCACGTGGGTGATGTCATACATGTAGACGGCATGCTGCATGGTGTCAATCACTGTCCTGTGCGTGGGGAGACCGCGATCAGCCAGGAGCAGCTTTGCAGGAGGGGGGCAACCCCATCCCCACGGGTAAGAACAGCTGGATGAGGACCCAGGCACTGCCCACACAGCCCCCGCCCACCACCCGGCGATTCCCCAGCCCGCAGTGACCCTGGGGTCTTCCCTCCTCAAACAGCCAGGCAGCTGGGTCAGCAGCGTGTGGGGACACACATCCTGCCAGAGACAGGCTGGTATTAGACCGCCCACCTAGCACAGGGACAGGTCCCCTCTCTTCATCCCCATCCCAGGAGACGGCTGCCAGAGTCCCCACGACCGCAGCGATGCCACCAGTTGAGCCACACGCAGTTCCCACGTGCGGGAACTTGGCCAGCCCCAGGACTGGGCCAATCCCAGCCCCTGGGCCAATCCCGGGACTTGGCCAGCCCCAACGTGCCTCCTGCAGCCCCAAATCCACAACCCACGGCGGGAGAAGAGTCCTGGCTCCCCAGGGCCCCACAGCACAGGCTGTGAGGGGTAAACGCCACGGTGGACGAAGGTGTGGGACCATACTTGATGTTCTGCTGGCCGTGGAAGGTCATGAAGTAGAGCGGGAGGTCCTCGAAGCGGTCAGCCCACTCATCGTACAGCTCCAGCTGCTCCTCCAGGCGCTGGGCGGCAAACTGCGTCAGCATGATCTTGGCCAGGCGGACGTTGTTGATCTCGAAGCTGCCCCACAGCGTGCACACCCCCTGCATGCACAGGTCCAGCGCGTACTCGCTGATAAACGTCGTCTTCCCGCTGCCCGTCGGGCCTGGCACGAGGATAACGACAGGAGGAATGAGCAGGGGGAGATGTGACCTCTCCTGAACACGCTGGAGGGTGTTTAGAAGTGGAAGTGCTGGGGAGCGGGGTAAGAGCAGCCCACCCGCAGCACTCCCACCACAGACAAGCAGCATCTCCTGCCAGGCTGCGTGTCCGGGTGCTTGTGTGATGGCTCCAGCACCCAGACGGTCCCTGTGGGGAAGGGCTGAGCAGCCGGCGGGACAGGGAGGAGCACAGGGCGGGCTCAGACAGGAGGCAGCAGATGAAAGCAGAGGGAGAAGACACCCCAGGGGGCCCCGTGCTGTCCCAGGCACGGAGCCCATCACATCAGCCCCACCACACGCAGGAACGCGCCCCAACCACTCGCCCCCACGACAGGCTCAGCCAAAGCCATGAGCAAAAGGCACCAGGAAGACTTGTGAGGTGTCACCCCCAGGATGGGGGAAGCCACCAAAGTGCCCCCTGCTCCCCCCCGTCCACCAGCTGTTTGCCCATCACCTGTGAAGACGGTGAGCTCCCCTCTGCGGTGCCCTTTGAGGAGCTTGTTGAGCTCGGGGAAGCGCGCCCACTTGACGCCGGCCACCTGCTCGGTGTTGACCAGCTCCCCAAATACCTCCTCGCGCAGCTGCCGGAAGGAGACGATGGATTTGTGGCTGGCGGGCAGGGCGGCACGCAGGATCTTGGTGAGGTTCAGGCCCTGGTTCAGAGCCTCCAAAGGCCGGGGCTGGAGGTTGCCGGGGCGCACCAGGGAGCAGCGCTTGAGGTTCAGCTTCCGAGCAAAGAGCTTGGCGGCTTCCCAGGAGCGCAGGCCCTCGCCCGGCCACAGGGTGATGCGCTTGAACTGCTCCAGGGAAGGGAGGAGGGCAGGGGGCAGGCAGGTGGCCCCCCGGGGCAGGGCAAGGCTGGCCACCCCCGTCGCTTGGTGCAGGGCCATGGCGTCCAGCTCCCACCCAGTCAAGACCAGCTCTGTGTCCCGGCGGCTGACCAGGGGCAGCCCAAAGAGATTGCGATAGGAATCGAAGCGGGGTAAAGTCTCTTCCACGTAAGCTACCGCGTCCCCCTTCTTCTCAACCCTCAGGAGCTTCAGGCCCCTCAAGGTCGCATCGCGGGGGCTGAACCAGGGGAAGACGAGCGACTTGGCAGTCCTCAGATAACGAACCCCGAAGCGTTTTAGGGTGGCATCTGTCACCAGGGAGATGCCGAACATGGCCTTGGTCTCGTTGGTCTCATCCTTGTCCAGCAGCTCCCAGAGCGGCAGCGCC